AATCTCTGACTGGCGTGTTTAGACAAGTAGGGGATGAATACTATCTGACTGCAGTCCTCGGATTTCTCACAACCAATATTTTCAGACAGTTGTTTTCGCATAACTCAAAATCGTCGATAACCACGCTGATGTATTCACTCCTACATTGTGTAAACACTCACTAATCTTTATACTATTCTTCCTAGTTAACTCGTCCATCTGCATTCATCCTAGCTAGTTTCTCTTGTGAACACGTTGAGCAGAAATCTTCGTGTGTTCGTGGTGAGACTCGCCTCTGTGAAATGTGAGATGATGTTTCAGGAGTGGTCTGCACCGACTCCTAGTTTAGAGATAGACAGTGAAGTGGTTCAGCCTGTTGACTGACCACTTCACTAATTTGTCAAGTTGCATCAACCCTCACGCACTGACTGATTTCTGACGAAATCTCACCACTCATAGAAAAGGCTCCTCTGGCCTTCGCCAACCTACATCCTCTCTCGCCTAGATATCCGTGATATCCGGCTATCGAAGAAAGCACGTGTGTACTGACTAGAATTTCGTTCTCTCCTTCTTTGTGCCTGTGAGACACGGCCATTGAAAATCGAGATAAGGATATGAGGATAAGAGAAGAGGAGAGAAGAGAAGAGAAGGGAAGAGGCTGGTTAGGTGTTGTCGACCATAGGTGTGTGAGTTCTATCTCCCGTCTCAAGTGGTATAATGTGCTGAGTAGTTCTGATGTTAGGCGTAGAGTGTTAGGTAAGGAGGGGAAGTCGATCGATCAGCCTGCGAAGCTGCATCGACCGAGTTGGTTGCATGTTCTACGCCTATAATACCGATTCACCATCCCTCTCTCTCTCTCGACGACCAATGTTAGCTGACCTAGGATTAAGTTGGGAGAGATTGAATTTCAGGTGGTCGGAAGAATCTACGGCGTCAATCTATGAAATCTCTGACTGGCGTGTTTAGACAAGTAGGGGATGAATACTATCTGACTGCAGTCCTCGGATTTCTCACAACCAATATTTTCAGACAGTTGTTTTCGCATAACTCAAAATCGTCGATAACCACGCTGATGTATTCACTCCTACATTGTGTAAACACTCACTAATCTTTATACTATTCTTCCTAGTTAACTCGTCCATCTGCATTCATCCTAGCTAGTTTCTCTTGTGAACACGTTGAGCAGAAATCTTCGTGTGTTCGTGGTGAGACTCGCCTCTGTGAAATGTGAGATGATGTTTCAGGAGTGGTCTGCACCAACTCCTAGTTTAGAGATAGACAGTGAAGTGGTTCAGCCTGTTGACTGACCACTTCACTAATTTGTCAAGTTGCATCAACCCTCACGCACTGACTGATTTCTGACGAAATCTCACCACTCATAGAAAAGGCTCCTCTGGCCTTCGCCAACCTACATCCTCTCTCGCCTAGATATCCGTGATATCCGGCTATCGAAGAAAGCACGTGTGTACTGACTAGAATTTCGTTCTCTCCTTCTTTGTGCCTGTGAGACACGGCCATTGAAAATCGAGATAAGGATATGAGGAGAAGAGAAGAGGAGAGAAGAGAAGAGAAGGGAAGAGGCTGGTTAGGTGTTGTCGACCATAGGTGTGTGAGTTCTATCTCCCGTCTCAAGTGGTATAATGTGCTGAGTAGTTCTGATGTTAGGCGTAGAGTGTTAGGTAAGGAGGGGAAGTCGATCGATCAGCCTGCGAAGCTGCATCGACCGAGTTGGTTGCATGTTCTACGCCTATAATACCGATTCACCATCCCTCTCTCTCTCTCGACGACCAATGTTAGCTGACCTAGGATTAAGTTGGGAGAGATTGAATTTCAGGTGGTCGGAAGAATCTACGGCGTCAATCTATGAAATCTCTGACTGGCGTGTTTAGACAAGTAGGGGATGAATACTATCTGACTGCAGTCCTCGGATTTCTCACAACCAATATTTTCAGACAGTTGTTTTCGCATAACTCAAAATCGTCGATAACCACGCTGATGTATTCACTCCTACATTGTGTAAACACTCACTAATCTTTATACTATTCTTCCTAGTTAACTCGTCCATCTGCATTCATCCTAGCTAGTTTCTCTTGTGAACACGTTGAGCAGAAATCTTCGTGTGTTCGTGGTGAGACTCGCCTCTGTGAAATGTGAGATGATGTTTCAGGAGTGGTCTGCACCGACTCCTAGTTTAGAGATAGACAGTGAAGTGGTTCAGCCTGTTGACTGACCACTTCACTAATTTGTCAAGTTGCATCAACCCTCACGCACTGACTGATTTCTGACGAAATCTCACCACTCATAGAAAAGGCTCCTCTGGCCTTCGCCAACCTACATCCTCTCTCGCCTAGATATCCGGCTATCGAAGAAAGCACGTGTGTACTGACTAGAATTTCGTTCTCTCCTTCTTTGTGCCTGTGAGACACGGCCATTGAAAATCGAGATAAGGATATGAGGAGAAGAGAAGAGGAGAGAAGAGAAGAGGCTGGTTAGGTGTTGTCGACCATAGGTGTGTGAGTTCTATCTCCCGTCTCAAGTGGTATAATGTGCTGAGTAGTTCTGATGTTAGGCGTAGAGTGTTAGGTAAGGAGGGGAAGTCGATCGATCAGCCTGCGAAGCTGCATCGACCGAGTTGGTTGCATGTTCTACGCCTATAATACCGATTCACCATCCCTCTCTCTCTCTCGACGACCAATGTTAGCTGACCTAGGATTAAGTTGGGAGAGATTGAATTTCAGGTGGTCGGAAGAATCTACGGCGTCAATCTATGAAATCTCTGACTGGCGTGTTTAGACAAGTAGGGGATGAATACTATCTGACTGCAGTCCTCGGATTTCTCACAACCAATATTTTCAGACAGTTGTTTTCGCATAACTCAAAATCGTCGATAACCACGCTGATGTATTCACTCCTACATTGTGTAAACACTCACTAATCTTTATACTATTCTTCCTAGTTAACTCGTCCATCTGCATTCATCCTAGCTAGTTTCTCTTGTGAACACGTTGAGCAGAAATCTTCGTGTGTTCGTGGTGAGACTCGCCTCTGTGAAATGTGAGATGATGTTTCAGGAGTGGTCTGCACCAACTCCTAGTTTAGAGATAGACAGTGAAGTGGTTCAGCCTGTTGACTGACCACTTCACTAATTTGTCAAGTTGCATCAACCCTCACGCACTGACTGATTTCTGACGAAATCTCACCACTCATAGAAAAGGCTCCTCTGGCCTTCGCCAACCTACATCCTCTCTCGCCTAGATATCCGTGATATCCGGCTATCGAAGAAAGCACGTGTGTACTGACTAGAATTTCGTTCTCTCCTTCTTTGTGCCTGTGAGACACGGCCATTGAAAATCGAGATAAGGATATGAGGAGAAGAGAAGAGGAGAGAAGAGAAGGGAAGAGGCTGGTTAGGTGTTGTCGACCATAGGTGTGTGAGTTCTATCTCCCGTCTCAAGTGGTATAATGTGCTGAGTAGTTCTGATGTTAGGCGTAGAGTGTTAGGTAAGGAGGGGAAGTCGATCGATCAGCCTGCGAAGCTGCATCGACCGAGTTGGTTGCATGTTCTACGCCTATAATACCGATTCACCATCCCTCTCTCTCTCTCGACGACCAATGTTAGCTGACCTAGGATTAAGTTGGGAGAGATTGAATTTCAGGTGGTCGGAAGAATCTACGGCGTCAATCTATGAAATCTCTGACTGGCGTGTTTAGACAAGTAGGGGATGAATACTATCTGACTGCAGTCCTCGGATTTCTCACAACCAATATTTTCAGACTAGTATTTCCATCTTAGATTCATGGTGGACCAGAATGATTTGCATCATCATAATGAGTGCACGACATTAAGTGTCAAGTTTTTCCTAAGTGGATATAGTTCTCAAGCGATGGCTAAATGGGTACAGGTATGTACGTATACGCAATTCTATATATATCAATTAAGTGAACAAATAAGCGACAATGTTTTTCAACAAAGGAACACAAAGGTTTACAGGATATAAAGAAGGACGTTTTCAGTGCATACAACATTATTTTGTGTTTATTTTTTACATAAATTATAATAAAGAAATTAATTTGTAAGAATAACAATAATAGTAATAAAACATGTTTCCATTATATGCAATGGTACATATACGCATTCGAATATAGAAACGGAGTACACATGAGATCGACTGACTAGTAGTATATACTTAAAGAGGAAGAATAGCGCGGCATAACTGGTGAACGAAAGAAACAAATGTCATTCAAGGGAGGATCATATACGAAATCATGATAATAACAGTAATTAATCAACACTGTTCATTTCACTCCATAATAAAGATACATTCAGACATTTATCATTAGATAGAAAAAAATAATAACAAAAGAAAAAAGAAAAACAATTGAAACCAAACTGTTAAGTAGTAGTCATTTCGACTGCACAAAATCACACAGAAAGACAGGCAGACCCTGTTAACAAACACATACACACTACTACTACTTCTGATAGTACATCACAAAATGACTACTCCTGAAATCTTTACTTCGGAGAGAAAGACACAAGGAGGAGTAGACTATTTTTTGTCAAATACACATCTACCTGATAGTCTTGTTTGTTTATTTTTGTTACTCTGCATTTGTGTGAACGTATTATCAACCCACCAAAAACCAAAAAAGAGATACGAGATCACCCAAAAGGAATAAGTGAAATGAGAATTGTGCGATCATATGTGTGAGTATGTGATAATTAAACAACGCGGCGTAAGCAAAAAAGAAAGTTGTTCTCCTAGGGGTTTTCATTCATAACACACTTCAGTGGATTAATACAAGAATTAATTATTTAATTGTCATTGTCATTGGAAAGTTTTTAGACTAAGTTTTTGTTGTTGTATACATACATACATACATACATACACACACACACACACAAACATGATACAAACAGAACAAGTCGCTTTCTTCGATAGATTATAATTATGATTATAAAAAGAGGAATCCATCATTCATTATTCATCTGTATATATATATATATATATATATATATATATATATATATATATATATATATCCACCGCAGAAATATGAGAAGGTAGGTAGGTAGATAGGCGAAAGAATTAGGAAGGAGGGAAGGAAGGAAAGATACAAGACAAAAAAGAGTGGGTGAGTAAGCACTTCTTTGAGAATTACTCTTGTTGTATCCCTTCCAAAATAATGCACGCACAAAAAAATATAACAGTTGTATAGTAATAACAATAATAACAAAAGTTTGGAAAAAGTAGTAGGAGTAACTCAAGAGCAGAACATTTAACAAATACAAAATGCAACTGTTACATTAATCAATCAATAATAATCATACATGAAACAACAAAATGTCCTTCTAGAAGATAACGACGCTCCTTTAAATATTCTATTGCATGACTTTTGAACCTATGGAAAAATTAAGAAATAAAACTTATTTAAAGATCACACTTTTATCAGAAAAAAGAGAAATAAGGAGTGGTATCTTATATATAAAGTCGAATATAACGATGGGCTACCAATTCTAATATTGTAAGACTTTCACAACAACCTTTTGTTGGTTTACTAAACCTATCATATAAGATATATATATATTCCTTTGAACACGGAATTCATATTACTGCTGGACACTCGTTATACTCTATAGTCTGAATGAGGAGCAGTTTAATTGGCCCACAGCCACGCTCAACCTTCCGAGCATCCAACACCTCCCTGAATGGGATATAGACACAGGTCCTCCGTCACTAACTGAGGTTACTAAAGCTGTCACCAATCTGAAACTAGGCAAAGCAGCGGGACCTGATGGAATGACGCCAGAGGTATTTAAGTACGGTGGAGACAGCTTACTGTCCGGATTAACTGAGGTACTAGGCAGCGTCTGGGAATCAGAAGAAGTCCCATCGGGTTGGTGTAAGTCACTGATTATCCCCATATACAAGAAGGGAGACAAGTCTTCCTGTGATAATCACAGAGGGATTAGCTTGACTAATATAGTATCTAAAGTCTTAGGCTCAATAATCATGCGTAGACTGAGTGGTGCTCGGGAAGCACAAACACGAGAGAGCCAGGCAGGCTTTAGACCAGGAAGAGGGTGTATTGATCATATCTTCACCCTCCGACAGATTCTAGAACATAGGCATTCCTACCGGCGTCCAACAGTCATTATATTTCTTGACCTAAAGGCAGCATTCGACTCTGTCGATCGGGAAGTTCTCTGGAGATGCTTGGCTGTAAAGGGAATTCCAAGAAAATATATTGCACTGATTAAGGCACTCTACTCGTACTCATACAGCCAGGTGAGGGCTTACGGCGAGCTGTCATCTGAACTGATGACGACCAGTGGTGTCCGTCAAGGATGCCCATTATCTCCTTTTCTATTCAACTTCATCATAGATGTGTTAATGGACTTAACCCTAGGTGACTTCAGCGACTCAGGGATTGACTTGCTACCGGGGAATAATCTCGTTGACTTGGAATATGCAGACGATATAGTCCTTCTAGGCGAAGACGCTGACGAAATGCAGAGTCTTCTAAACACCTTGAGCCGCAATCTACGAATGTTTGGCATGCGATTCGCTCCCGCCAAATGCAAGATGATGTTACAGGACTGGACTACATCGACGCCTAGTTTAAAAATAGGAAGTGAAGTGGTAGAGCACGTTGACCGCTTCACTTATTTGGGAAGTACCATCAGCCCCAACGGGCTGATCTCTGACGAAATCTCAGCACGAATACAAGGGGCTCGTTTCGCATTTGTTAGTTTACGCCGACTCTGGCGTAGACGAGATGTTCGACTATCGACCAAAGGGCGGGTGTACTGCTCATCAGTCCGCTCCGTCCTCCTTTATGGTTGTGAGACCTGGCCACTGAGAGTGGAAGACATGAAAAGACTAGCTGTCTTTGATCATAGGTGCCTGCGTTCTATTTCCCGTGTAAAGTGGCATAATAAGGTGAGCAACATGGAGGTTAGGCGTAGAGTTCTAGGTAAACAGGGGAAATCAATCGACGAAGTCGTGAAGCTACAAAGACTGAGATGGTTAGGACATGTGTTACGTATGCCAAGCCATCGCCTCCCTCGACGAGCAATGTTAGCGGATATAGGGTCAGGCTGGAAAAAAGCTAGCGGCGGTCAAACAAAAACTTGGCATCAGTCAATGAAATCCACAACAGTTGGTCTAAGCCACGTAGAAAGGTGTAGACTTCCAGGCTGGGGTCCTCGGGACGGTAAAAATCTATGGTTGGAAACAATTGGTGACATGGCTCAAAATCGTTCTCAGTGGCGCAGATGCATCCACTCCCTGTGACTTATGATCTTCAATGAAACTGTTTTGTATTTCTTTATTACTCCTTTGTCTCACACCTCTGCTCACTGTTTCTATTATGCTTTTCTTGTACTTTCTTCTCTTGCTTCGCGTGCTACACGGAATGTGGCGACTTGAACTTCCGCACATTTGTGCAAAGTTCTATGTCGAAAACAGACAGACAGTCTGAATATATTTACATTAAAAAAGTAATTTATAATTTAGTTGGTGGATGGTGACTAGCAGTGGAATCCAGGATGCGCGTTTCATCCCATTTAGGACCCGTCGACCTAGGACCGAGCACTTCGATCCAATCAATCGACGGCAGAATCTAAAATTCAATTATAAGCGAAGCTACTAGTAGTAAGTTACAACATTGTTTTCAATAAGTCGTGTGATGGATGACATTGGCTATCACAGCGAAGTTATACACTCTGTAGTCGAAAGAATTAAGAAATCGTAGACTACTGCATTCCGTCGCAATGGCTGAATAGTCAACGGGTGGATGCACTGCTTATTCATGATAACGTGTAAGAGGCAGATTAAATCACAATTACTATTTTGGAAATGTACTGATTCAGTTTTCATCTGTTAAAAACCACAGAGGTGTATTTTGAGCAGTCGATAGATCAATGAAAAGTTTGTTTTTCGAAAGTTACATATTGTATGATTCGATGAAAGGAGAGAACACACTTCTCACTACCAAAATATATGTAAATCTCAGACGAAAAACCAAATGGATTTCTTGATTCATCTGAATACATACATTATGAATTGTTAGTTGACGCCTGTTGCATGACAGTGATGAACTTCATCGAAATGAAAAATTCTTTTCCAGACTTAAAATACAGTGGTGTAAAGGTGAATCGCAGTGCATTTCTATTCGCAATAAGAAAATATAAAATAACCATGAAAATGTAATTGTGCGTCAATGAATCAACATGGTACAATGCTCGCCAGCCACATGGGAGGCTCGGATTCCATTGCCGATTGATGTAGTCCTCTAAACTGCATCCCTATCCGGTGGTGGTAAGCTGTCATAAGAGGGAAATTTGCGAATAAGGATAGTTTTCCTACTCCTGGTCTATTCAGAACTCAAGGAATGAGCAGATGTGTCATTGAAAAGAAGTACGCGTAGTGGAGACACACACATGTGCAGATAACATACCTGAATTCCAATTTTTAGCAGGATTCCCAACGTTATTCATTGCGAAACAGTGGTCTGTAGGGTTTGTACTAATAACAGGATTGTAATAAATTGTGTCGTTCGCATTATTAACCCCACACACAGAAGAATTCACCAACGGTTCCATCATGGCAGTAGTTGTCGCTGGAATGCTTGCTGATCTGAGAACTGCTGGAGCAACTTGTTGTGAATGATTTGCCATTATATAACGACTCATATCTAATGTAGTCTGGTTAGTAAAGGGTTGTGGGGATAATTGCATAGGATGAGATTGATTTTGAACTAGAGTGTCATTGGCAACAGCTACAGGGATATTATGAACAACATTAGAGATTGGATTAGTTGCAGGAAGTCCACCAGTTTGATTCATTGTGTAAGCTGGACTATTACGATAATTTATTTGTCCATTACTATTGTTACTGTTGAGCACACCACCAGCAATAACCGCCTGTGATTGTATCTCTATTTGTTGTTGTGCGCACAAATTGGCATAATACGTCTCTGTCGGCGACCGGACATGAGAACCAGGCGGTGGAGCCGGTGGATAACCATTGTATCTGAAATGTGGATTCTTCAAATCCAAACTGTTTGTGATCTATAAATTAAAAGACGAATATACGTGAAACCGTAAATTTAAAATAAAGAAAGGAAACAAGGTATCAAAGTAATTTGCAGTCTTCCAGCAGGTTATACTAGGACTTATTTACTAATTCAAAATAATAATTGACATTGAAAATACACAGGCATGAAACAAATAGAAAAACCTCAGGAAGAAAATTTCTTTAGAGAAACGTTCGTCTTCAAGGACTTTGCAACAGCAGACTGTTATTGGTTAACAGGGCGTGTGAGTGTGTGTGTGTGTGACCACCTGACACAGAAGATCGGAAGAGACCACTTTATAATTGTCGAGAGAATGGGAATAAAGCTTTGAGACTTGATAAGGTGAGAACTGTTACTTGACAGTAATTAGCAAGGTGGCTGTCTCCATTTGAAGGTAAGAGAAAAAGAAGCTAGCAAAATGCACATAAGCGTGGCGTGTGCTACAAGATTTATAAATAGTACGTACATTAAATATTTCCATAGTAAAATCTAGATCAACACATTTAAGCGAACAATATTGTTGTTTTCAATTAGATCTCATCAGGCTTAACTCTAATATACACACATAACTTTACAAATAAAAATTCAAATATAAACCAATCATGGTGTTTTGTCTATTGGATAATAAGATGGTGACTATAAATTGTGCAATTTGTCATAATAATAATAGTTTTATCAATCATAAGGATGAAAAGGTGAGGCAATCTGTGATAACACGAATAACCAGAAACAGTATGATTAAACAAAAAATGTTCAGGTGGAAGTAGTAGTCGGTAAAGGCTAGTAAAAACAAACGAACCGATTAAGTAATGTTAGATTGTAAGGGAGGTGAATGAGACACATTTTGTAATGAAGATGTGATAAAATTAAGGGATGATAAGAAAGGGATTGAAAATATATAAAAGGCGTGATGGTGTAGAAGTCATCAGTTGGTTATGTCTTAATAGGCCAACAAGAGAGAGTTAATGGCTGTACCAACTTCTTTTGAATGCATAGTTTAGGTTTAATAGTTCGAATGCCTATCGCCTCAGCTGTGTGCAGTAGACGAATACGAAGTCTATTAGATTCTAAAGATTCGGTGGGATACGATGAATTACTTTGAAGGCTTTTGTTTTATCGACTATATGACCACTATCAATTAGATGTGACAGAATTGAGCTACGGATTGTTTTTGTCTGTCCTTTGCCAAACCACGATGGGAGATGTTCACTAACACGTTGGCTAAGCTGTCTAGTAGTACGCCCAATATAACTGTCACCGCAGGTGCAGTTGAATTGATAAATACACATGGATGTGGTAAAACTATCAAGCTTATCCTTCGTTTGCGTCACAATCATTCGTCGGCTAGAGAATGACAAACACAGGAGTGCTGCGTAAAATGTTCTTCGTATACTCCTTGAAAGTCTTTGGAATACAATCTCATTTGATAAGACACCATTAAATGGTAACTTCTCACGTGCAGTCAGAGTCTCAGGTTTATAGATGTAGATATAAATGTGTGTATCATGTGAAGAATATCGAATAGCGAAGAGGTGGATTCAATGAACGATGGTTGCGAAATATGGTAAAGAAACACGAAAGAAAGACAAAGAAGCACAATACATATGGTAGACATATTTCGCTAATATCTGTGTACCGAGTTGATAATAACTAATTCGGTTACCAGTTATTACAGTAACACAGGAGAAGGAGTCTAAGATCGCATTAAACTTCAAACCGTTACTTCCATTATTTCGACAATTATAACATAATTTATTGAATTTCCCCTCTACCATTGTGGGTTGCATAGAGCTGGCCTACTTCTTTTGTACGAAATTCTACGTTGAAGCCACAGTCATTTATCTGTGATGATAACTGGGGACCTAGGGATACTTAGTAGCAAAGGCTGGAGATTATTAGTGATATGGCTCACAAGTGTTCTCAATTGGGCAGATGTATTCACTACTTGTTCATTAACCCTCTCCCCCTATCTATGGTTTTCCATTTTACGATTCTTACTTCCGTACATTTCCGCATACTGTTTTTTTTTAATTTCCCTTTTCTCTCTAGATTTGTTCCCTACAATGGACATTTACTGCTGCATTTCTATGTCGATTTTCACGTTGAAGACTTGGTCAGCACCTGTGATGAATTGTGGGAATTGTTTATTACTATATTACTACGACAAACTTGTCCGAAATTCTAAAATCTGGTTGAAATGTAGTTTACCCAATTTCCGGACAAAAAATTGTGCTTTCCAATGCAAAAAAACATTCTATTACCTTCGTTTGGCTGCCAGGGACTATCAGTTCAATTTGAACATCATAAGACTGCCGAGTGTTGGCATGCATAAGAACACGACCAGTGAGTGTTTGACCTTCTTGAACGAACAACGGTGTCCCTAAGAGACAACGTACCTAGATAAATGTAATAATTAAAGGTGGATGTTGGTAAAAAAGTTACCATAATAACACATTTGAAGGATTACATATAAAATCGATAAATAACTGAACATACCTGAACCTCATAAACAACCTGGTCTCCCCGACAATGGGTAGACTCCAGGCTTCCTCTCAAAACGCTCTCATTTAGCCAGTTATTTATAGCCCCTACCAGGTAAATTTTATTCACCGCTTTCACACAGTAGGATGCTCTCCACAAAAGCGAAAAAAGCAAGTCCGAACCTCTGGTGCTTAAAATCGGACTTTCGGAATCGCATGTCTACACACCTAGGAGTGCTCGAAAACCATGATTTCAAACCGACGGTGTACATGGGATCCAGAATTCAAAAGGATTAAACGGCATATGAGCCTGCTTTAGACACCAACAACGTTGAGGACATGACTCATGACACTGCTTCTTCGCTGCTGTATGGACTACTAAGACCCCCACCTGCTTCGGTTTGGGCGCCCGGACAGTAACCTAAATCATAATGTAACAAGTTCGTAGTTTAATAATAATACACATGATACGACCATAGTAATAAACTGAATAAATGAAACAGTTATCATTTGCAGGCTTTTCACATACCCAACCCTTCACTCAGGCTATGGACTAACTCCTAGATTTGTGATTGCCTTATAAACTATCCACGACTCATCTATCCTTTGCAAGCACCGGTGTTTCTATGATGTTACTAATAAGGTTCACATGTGTTATCATTAGCATTTTCAAATACCAATAGCTGGCAGCAACCCTTATATACACTGTGATACACCATGACTGTCTTTAACCTAGACCCAGTAGGTGGAGTGGGGTTCGTATCTGTGACTGGAAGTCAGGTGGTTTAACCAGTAAGCCACACCTAGCTCCATAACCACAATACTTCCCCCCCCCCTAAACTGACTACCATATATACTAATTATATCAAAAAGATAGAAGGGTAAATATCTAAGTGTCCCCAGAACTCTAGGCACTAAAATTTCATGTATGAAAAACAGTTAAGAAATTTTTTAAACTTCTCACCTGATACCAATGGGTAAGCGGTTCAGTAGGAGCTGTTGATAACCAAACATCTCGTTGTGAACCCAAGAAACCCACATCAAACCAAAACGCAAGACCGTGAATCTAAAATCATAGTAGAATGAATACATGAAGTAAACGTTAAGCAGTTGTTATAGAAAGAAATAAATGGAAATAAAACTATCTCATGTCAACATGCATAGCAGTGATACATATTACAGACGAAAACGAAAAACAAACACACTTTAACTCAATAACATACAAATATTATTTCTTGCTATATTCTGGAAAACAAAAATAACTGATAAGTGTTACAAAGTTTATATAACAACATCATGAAAAATTCTTTCAGCTGTGAAAAAAAAACCAAATCCCATGGAAATGTGATAGTGTGAGATGAATTTCCTAGAGAATACCGACCGATTGATTGCAACAGGAAAATAACAGATGCTCCACACTAATGTCTCTAATCAATTTCCCCCAGTGAAGTTCAAGCATTTATGCTTACACGCCTGACTACTTTATGAATCTCACGGTTTACCCATAGTGTACAATTTTTCGACCCTTTAGGACAGACCAACGAAAGGAAGGCTTGGTTATCGTGAATTTGCTTAAATTGGTTCCGTGAGGCTTTTAACTAAGATTTTGGATATATACCCCCATTTGAGTGATTTGGCCCCTGAGACGATGGCATTTATATCAACCTTCCAAGTGTTAGGTCGAGCTAGGGTTTAGGTGTACACGCCCAATATGGGAGAACACCAGGTTCAGGGTGTCTTAGTATGCGGGCTGCATGACACTTTTACTAAGGCTAACGAAATACTAGATTCCAACAGTTTACAATCAAAGGATTTGTCTGAAGATGGCATTATAAGGCTTGTACAGTCAGTCGTTGCGCGGGGGGGGGTTTGAGGTTGCTGAATGGGAGACTCCCACACTTAAATATACAGGAACCTAGCTTCTGTATCAGGAGGTCGTCTGCATTCCAATCGGTGTATAGCAACGAAGTCAGTATTTTGGCCTTTGCATTTTAGTATGCCAGCTTAGAAGTCCGCATGTTTTACTTTTGTGTACGAGGGCTTTAATGTCGAGGAGGGTTGAGGTAGATGATAGCCCCCTTTGCAGCTTAGTTGGTCCGACCTAAGCACTACGAAGTTTGACAAGTCAACTTCGTTATCGGTGAAACCGGGTGAGAGCTAAGTATTGATAATGATATCTGGCTTTCCGCAGTTTACCATAATACCCAGATCAGTCCATTTGTTCAACAAGCTACAAGCATTAGTGTAGCATACTGTTGACTCAGTTTGGTGCTCACGCGTTCCACCCACAGGGGTTTCAAGATCATCAGATTTCGAAACATGACAACTCGATAACCCTTAATAATGAGGATTTTCTCGCCGTTTCAACACCGTTCTTTTAATTCTAGAGCCACACACTGTATGTGTTGACAAACGTATATGCCTGATCCTTCAAAATTCTAAGTTCTTTAGTGGTATAGCACCACTGCGTCGTTGAGTTCAGTACAACTTCGAGGTGTGCATGCTGATTAACTGTAGAGATAGTCTTTTGGCCGGCTATGTAAAAGCCATGGATCGTCGCCCCCGATCCTTTCGTAGGCAATAACTTATCTAAGATTGGTTTGACTAGGGTGGGGTCATGCTTAAATCTGGTCTTTAGATCCGAAGCCACTGATATTTCCACTTTATGCAGCATGAGCTACCACTTGAAGAGATCAAGCTTACTTGGGATGGCTTTCTATATATGTCCTTCCTGCTCAGTGTGAGTTCTATGGTAGCTTTGTCTATCTTTTATGCGGGAATCTACATCTGGCCATTCACTGGCATCCTCTTCACCATCTGTCGTTGGTATTGTCTGCCTACTATCCCCTTGTCTGGATGAGGCTCGAACGGCAGAGTTTGCGCGAACTTATGCGATCACAGAGACATAAACTTCAGTGCGGCTCAAGTCATTCAACAGCTTCTAAATTGAGAATTGAATATAAAGCCCATTGTTTGTTTGTATCAAGTGGATTGTAAGTGTTTGTAGGTAAGGAGAAATGTTGTAAGACAACTTCACATGCAAGAATGTCCATGTGGTTCGATAAACGAAGCACACCTACTGCTGTGTAAAGGCTGATGATACTATGTTGTAGAAACTATGTTTGGTTGAACGGAGACATATTTGAATGAAACTAATTAGCCACACACACACACAGCTTGATATATTTTTTCTAAAGTCACTATGTTAAAAATCACTTTTGAACCTCAACCCTCGATGTTTTCATTAACACAGTTTTCTGGTGTTTCCCCTCACATTTGTTGGTGGATAATTTCAGAAACGAAAGAGAAACTAGAAAAATCAAATACTTGAAACAGGAGGATAATCTTATGTGAAGATTCTTTAGATTTCGAGGTTACTCTTCCACGCCATATAATAAAGGGAACTTTTTCTCCAAACCTTAAGATATCTATAAATACGAATAGTTCCCTGGTGTGTATGCATGTGATCACTTGCGTAGTGAATTTCACACCACAATAATAGTGATAGTAGTCCAGAGTAAATAAAAACATTCAAGCCGAATGGGATATTGCATTTGGCGAAATATACTATCATCGCATCACCAAGTTAAGAAATTTATCTTATTTCTTTACGCTCCCAGTTGAACATATGAAGTTCCAGTAGCAGTGGTGTTTATCTTTGCTGGATGGGGTTGCTAGCCCAATGCCCAACCTTTCCTCTTTACCAGTCTTATTGCCGGTGTAGGGAGTGTGAAGAAGCGAGTCGATCAGTGGTCGAACCCCGAACCACATGAGGAGTGGATGGCGAGCATTACTACCGCTAGGCCACCGACGTCAAATGATAAAAAAGCGGTGTAAAATTTTTTATGTGTACATCTACGTATGCAATCAAAATGTTGGAAAGAAAAGTAAGGCATAATTCAACAACCACTTACATCTGCATATAATCAGCAATGATGTTAACACTATCTAGATATGCCTGAACTTCAGTAAGCAAAGCAGGTCTGTCTGTCTGTTTTCGACATAGAACTTTGCACATATGTGCGGCATTTCAAGTCGCCACACTCTATGTAGCAAAGCAGGATTAATGAATCACTGGTTTAGTGGTTATAAATCGAAAGGCTAAACACTAATAAGGCGTATTTCTATGAAAAAGATTACAACTATCAAAGTGCATAGTTTATTTTACAACACAGAATCATGTGTCAAGCAGGAATCTAAACAATACAGTAAAATAAATAATATAACCAAATATAAAATGGCTTACTGTAGAGCATGTTGTAATGTGATAATTCAAGGGAATATCAATAGAAGCCAATTCTGATTCGGACACAGTACGAAAATCAACTTTGTGTATACAAGGTAGGGCTGGACAAATGCCTACATCGAATGTATCCACTATTGGTTGATTGAAGTACTCTGTCACTGCAGCATTACGCAGAGCTGTTAAATCCATTCCGTGAAAACTCTTTCGTAAAAAAGAAACCGAGTAGGGTAATAAAACTAACAGATCAATTATAGTTGACATATATAATTTAAAGTTTCCTCTGGGGATACAACAATTAACCGATTTAGTTATAGCATATTAATAATTACCCGGATAAATTAGTCAAGAAATATGTAAGTAAATGTAAAAATAAAGAAAATAATGATAATAGCGATAGTAATAATAATAATAACAATAATAATAATAATGGTGATAATAATAATATTAATAACGACACCAAGAATAAGGAATGTAAATCATCAACAGTAATTCCATACAAAGAAGGAACCTCGGAAGCCTTACGCAGAATTCTTAACAAGGCAGGAATAAAAGTGGCATTCAAACCCACAAACTCAATTAGAAACAAGCTTTGTCGGTTAAAGGATCCTGTAGAGTCATTAAAACAAAACAATTTAGTTTATCTAATACCTTGCTGGAATGATTGTCAGGTCAAATACATAGGTCAAACTAGTAGAACAGGGGCAGTCAGACTAGCCGAACATAAAAACCTAGCTAAATCTAGACTGGTTGACCCTAATAAGAGAAGAAATCTAGAAAATAGTTCAGCTATAGCACTACATGCAGTGACACACAACCATACAATAGAATGGATGGGATAGGATGACAGTTTTAAAATCTAATGTCACAGGGTATAGGGAGAGATTGATAACAGAAGCTTTGTTTATCGAATCAACTGCAAATACATGTAATAGGAATGATTCAACACCTGTCCCAGATATATGGAAAATTCTACTGCCCATACGACGAATAGAAGAAGACAGAGAAAACTGTAAAACTCAAATCTCAAAGTCGTGTGACCACAATTGATATGATTATGAACAATAAATTGTGTTCGAAACGTCATCCAGTATACAATACTGTTTCACTGTGTGATACATTTAATAAACAAACTAATATGGGATTAACGATAATGAAATTTACCGAATACGACAATATAAAAGATTCGCTTAGAGGGAGTGAAAACATCAGCGGAAAACAAGCAATTGTTCCCTAATTAGGATAGTTGGATTAAATACTAGAGAAAACAGTGACAAATGAGATTGTGAGTAGTTCCGAGTTCACCTTAAGATTCACATTTACTGTTATAATACCCTTAGCACAGATTTTATCAAGTGAGAGCCTACTTTCTCATAATTGCACCTTGGACACAACCAAAAATCTAAAATGATACATAAATTTGATGTGTAATACGACTGTTTAACAGTTGTACTAACAACTGATGAACTTTTATATCTCTCTCAGCCGATGGTAAGCCCAGTAAAGAGGTAAGGTTGGGAGTGAGGCTAGCAACCCCGACGGTTACTAAGAACAACAGCATCGCTACAGAAACTTCAAAATTTCGCAGACGTATATTTTACTCAGAACACATAAGAAACAAAATTTGAAAGAAAACACGTAGCAGCACTCTCACTAACTGCATAAGCAATTACACCACAACACACTGTTCACTCTGCTTTCGACTGATGATTGCAGAATACTAAGCCATATGTACTTATTGTTTTGTCTAACTTGTAATAAGACTTTCAGTTCAGGTTTTGGTTGACAAGCACATGGACTCGTGAATAATGGGCAAAATCCATTTTATCTAACTCACACCACCCTCTTCATTCAAAACTCTCCCCTTGTATCTCATCAGGCAAAACCAGAAGCCTATATAGAAAACTACACGCTCGCACTAGTAAGTACAAAAACTCAACCATACCCTACTTAGCTCGTGTTCTGTGCGATAAAGAAAGCATTAGGCGTGATACCTATAATTTATTAAATAGTCAGTAGAACAACTGGATCTCGTCTTCCCAATTCATATCTTTTATAGGTACAACGTTTTTCTTTCTTTCTTTTCCTTTTCTCTCTCTCTCCTTTTTTTCTCTGTTATGTGCTCCTTTGTGAATTTCTTCTGCTTACGCCAGTAAATATGCTGCCATCTACTTTTCTAACAACTTAAAACACTCTGTTCAATTTCTGGCTTTGATACCGACATGCCAATATGTTGTTGTCATAATGAACTGAGATTTCCTTAATCTGAGTATAATTTTATTTATTGAAAATGCACTAAATGGATGCAATAACTGTTGTAAAATGCTGAGAATTCCATTCTGTATCACAAGTACTGTTTTGGAATAAAGCAAATTATTATTATTAAAGAAAAGATAACTTTACTCGGAAGAGATAAAGTCTGTCAGTGAATGATGATGAGCATACACGATTAGTTTTAAGTAGCACATAGACTGAAGAGGCTAGTCATACTGCATATGTCACACTTGGCAGCAAACTTATTTCTCAATACAGTCAATACAGGACAGTCCATCTATATTACGGGAAACAATATGTATGTACATAGACATTTTTCGTTCACCATTCACTAGAGAAAATAAATATTTTACATAAACACTACCTGCAAATCAAAAAATATTTCTAAAATTACTACATTTTTCCACGAGTGCAGTTTCCAATGAATTCTTTGATGATAAGACTTAGTAAAGCTCACTGTATCTATTTCTACACACCCCTGAATAAAAGTGTGGTACAGAATCTGTAGGAAGAAGTCATGTGATTTAGTGAGAAAAACTCTCCTATCGACACAGAATCCGCGCACAAAACACGACATAACTGTAAGACTTACAACATGCGACACCTGAGAGTAGTCGGTAAAAGACCCTAGAAACGTATGTATTTTTTCATAAAAATTCACTAGGATTATATTTGGGATTCGAAGTACATACACTAATAACTCAAACCAATAAATCTGCATTACGGTCACAGAAAAACGACCATACCACCACCCATTATAGACACAACATTTTTGCAACTATGATTATTTACTATAAACAAATTTATCTAACAACTACTAAATGTGTTTCACTCGTTCACAAGAGCGCATCTCTCCAATCTACATGCCGGTTTGTGCATTATGAAGTGCACTGCACTGTACTCAAGTACAAATTTAGGCTATCTCGATAGCGGGTAGATGACGTTGATACATGGAAACTAAATGTTTATACAAATGAGCCACATGTTGTTTACTTGGTTGTGAAACGAAAGAATAGTCAATTTAAAAAGATGTGATTCTTTCTAATCGTTTGAGTTGTGAGTAGGATATAGAGCTTTAGGCTTTGAAGTTCCAGTTATTTTCAACAGTGGCGGGTTGCCAGTCTCACGACCAGCCTCTCCTATTCCCAGGTCTAATATCAACGAGATGAGGTTTTGGGAGGAGTATGCCGGTAGTAGAGCCTGGACCCCTAATGTGGCTGACGGGAATTCTACCACTGAAACACCCAGTGCACAAAGCCCGTATGTTACTACAAGGATTTGAACCTGGATTAGTACGACCAAAACGCAATGTCCTAACCATTAGATTAAAGAACGATTTAATGGTAGACACTAAATCACACTGACTACACATTACGTTTCTTTTTCAAGTAATGCAGAATTAATAATCATCATATGAATACTAAACTGACCTGCTGATACCAAAAGTTAGCCTTCCCATACTGTTCAGCAAATAATGCGTCATCACTGAATGGAACAATATACAAATTGGCAACAGATGGAAACATGATTCCAGGACAAGGTAGGGCTTTGTTGGATAATTTCAGTGATCCGTCATCATCTTCCATATGGTCATCTATATCAATATCTTCACAGTCCGATTCATCAGTTAATACGTCATTGGAGTCATCTGAGTCGGAGAAGTGTTTTTCTACACTGTCTGATGACTGTTGCTCTTCCTGACTATGTCGTTCTGTTTTGCATTTATTTTGTCTCTTTTTTTTCAATGGTTGTCGAAGATGTGGTGCCAGAAACTTTCTTGCATGAACGTATGATTCTAGCATTCTTTCATTATAAAGCATATAACCCATTGGCTCAGAAATGATGACGTCCACTGGTTCAGGAAGTGTGATTTCCTCAATTTTGCCGCTACAATTAGAATAAATTAGGCTGTTCCTTATTTTCTGATGATATCGATTATATTACGGAAAACCAAATAATGATGATATATCTGTTTAATATTCATCAAAAGACTAAATATCAGCTTATGCAACACAGTTGTTGTTTGAAAGCTTGCAGAATATTATATATATATATATATATATATATATATATATATATATATATATATATATATATATATAAAGCACTACAACAGAATAAGTTGTCTGTACAAAAAGTCCTAACAATCTGATTGATACAGTGTTACATATAGAGAACATAAGGAGTACTAAACAAAAATACAAGCTCACTCCGAATAAAATAGGATAAGAGCTAGAGACAACTGATTATTATATTATTATTATCATTGCGCCCTTGGGTTTCTAGTGGAACATAGAGCTTCAACTGCACGTCTCCACTTGCTTCTGTCTTCTGCTGTACTTTTCACCTGCATCCATGTTAGTCCACACTCTTTCAACTCCTCTTCACACGATCTCCTCCATGTCACCCTTGGACGTCCCACTCGCCGCTTCCCTTTCGGGTTCCACTCGAGGGCTTGGCGCGCGATGTCACCCAGCGGTCTCCTCAGTGAGTGTCCGATCCATCTCCACTTTCTCCTGCATATGTGTTGGGTGATTGGTTCTTGCTTTGTTTATTCCCATAATTCCTTGTTGGTGACTCTCTCCGGCCATCTGATCTTCATTATAGAGCCAGCGAAGACAGTTGTTGATAAAGGACTGGTCTGCAACAGGCTGTTGGAAATATTCTTTGTGACCCACCCGCCCGCCAAGTTTCTGATCCATATAGAAGAACTGATTGACCTGACGTTTGTATTGAAAATTCGACTGAATTTTGTTGTTGGTGCTGGCTGAGTGGCGAAGATTTCCCGATTGGTTGTTTCAGATTGATTGATGAATGTGTTTCTCACCTTCCCGATTCTCACTCGATTTGACATCCTCGTCCGTTCCGACTTCCTGTAGTTGAGACAATGCTCCCTCCCTAGATAAGTGAGTGAATAAAGTAACCTCTTACAGATTCCTCCCGTTGATGGTGATTGGCGCTGGATGTTGCTGCTGCTGCTGTTGGTTGGTTATTTTCATCACCTCCGTCTTGTCTATTTTCACCTGGAGTCCTGTCTTCGCCGGCTGCTTCTTCGACCAGTTTGTCGGTCGGTTTTCGCTTGTAAGTCTTCGATTGTGTGTGACATCAAACATAAACCATCCACGCGCGAAATCCAGGTCTTCTAGGTTCTTCACGTCGGTCCCGGTTATCCGTGTCTTCTCGTTTCCCACTGGTCTGACACATAATCTAGTCCACCACAATTAGGAATATCATTGGTGATAATAAGCACCCTTGTCTGACTCCTATGTTTACTCCAAACGCCTCGATGAGTTTTCCATTGTGGATAACTTGACATGTGCCGCCGTTGTCGTACAGCTGTTGAATAAGGTTGATGAATATCTGGGGCACCGTACGCCGTAGTACTCGAGTTATTTCCAAATTACTTCACGATCAACGCTGCCTGTCGAAGGCCTTCTCAAAGTCTATACAGTTGAGGTAGAGGTTTGATTGCCATTCCACGCTTTGTTCTGTGATGATGATGCGTAGAGATGAAATTTGGCCAGTACATGATTTGCCTTTCGTGAATGCAGTCAGCTTGTTCTGGTCGGAGTTCTGTCTCCAATGCGTCCCCTATTCTCTCCAGGATGATGCGACTCAGGATTTTACTTGGAGTCGACAGAAGCATGATTCCCGGCCAGTTCTTGCAGAGTGAGGCGTAAGTCGCCCTTCTTTGGTAGTTAGTTTCACGAGGTAGCCATTCCTCCAGTCAGTAGGCACCTTTCCCTCCTTCCAGACCTTTTGCAATAGTGGAGTGAGTCAGCATATCTGCTGTAGTCTCTGGGTCCGCTTTCAGTGCTTCAGGGGGTATTCCATCTGGTCCATCTGCTTTTCCATCTTCCAGAAGCTTGATTGCATTCAAGACTTCAGCTCTCGCTGGAGGATTGGTGTCAACTTGCAGTTGTGTACGTGCTGTTGTTGGTATTTCTGGACGGGTTGCAGGTGGTGTTCGGTTAAAAAGTCCTTTGAAGTGATCCGCCCATTGTTTAATCTCTTTCTTTTTTGGTAATTGGGTTCCCTTGACTGTCTTTTATAGGTTTCACCTGTGTTGATCTCTTCCCGGATAGAGATTTGGCTATCTGATATGGTGTCCTCAGGTCTCTTTTCCCTGCTGCCTTCTCAGCATCAGTGGCCAGGTTGTCGTAGAATCGTCTTTTGGCCTTCCTAGCACTCTTCTTCACTTGTTTGTTCATTGCTGTGTAAGTTGAGCTCATCGTCTCCTTCTCCTGCCCGTCCTTGCATTGAATCATTTTCTCTTTCACCATTCTCCTCTCTTCTATTAATTTCCAAGTGTCCGTTGAGAGCCATTCCTTGTCTTGTCTCTTCTTTCTTCCTAGAACCGTTGAACACGTTTCGTTGAGAATCGCCTTCAGAGACTTCCAATGTTCTTCCACACATGATTCTTCAGTGATGTCGCGTAGTGTTTCCTGCTTTGCTCTGACAGTTGCATCAGTGACAACTGATGCCTGAGTTAATTTTCATTAGTGGCACATTCATTGAAGTTTCCAAACAACTAGTGTCTGATGCACATATTGATTACTATGGTCGTATATGAAAAAAATTACGAGTCGCAAGTATCCATGTGTGTCAACTGTATTCTAGTGGTATCTAACTGATTGACTGACTGGTTTCAACATAGAACTTTGCACTGATGTGCAGCAGTTTAAGTCGCCACAATCCCTCCTTGTAGCACACAAAGCAAGAGAAGTAGAAGAAATGCATACTACAGACAGTAAACAGCGTTATGAGACAAAAGGAATAGTAATAACGAAGAACAATCTAGTTTCATTGGAAATTATAAGTCACAAGGACTGGATGCATCTGCGCCATGATCGGGAACGACTTTGAGTCATATAACCGATTGTCTGCAGCCATTGGTGTTTACCATCCCGAGGACCCCAACCAAGAACTCTACACCTTCCTACAGGGCTTAAACTAACTGTTGTGGATTTGATTGGCTGATTCCATATCTGGGTTTGACAACCACTGGCTTTTTCCAACCTCACTAACCCTATGTCAAATAACTGTCAACTAACTGGCTAGGCATGCGTTACACATGTCCTAAACATCTCAATCGATGTAACTTCACAGCCTCATCTATTGATTTCGCCTCTTTACCTAGCACTCGGAGGGCTAACCTCAACATTGTTCACCCTATTACATAACTTCACACGGGAGATAGAACTCAGACACCTATGACCGAAGACAGCTAGCCTTTTCATGTCCTCCACTCTCAATAACCAGGTCTCACAGCCATACAGGAGGACGGAACAAACTGCTGCTGGGCAGTACACACGTCCTTTGGTCGATAGCCAGTCGGATATCACGTCTACGCTAGAGACGACGTAAACTGGCATGTGTAAAACGAGCTTCCTGTATCCTTGCTGAGATTTCGTCAGCGATCAACTCACTGGCGTTGGCTGATGCAACTTTCCAAATAAGTGAAGTGTTCAAAACGCTCTACCACTTCACTCCTTATTTCTAAGCTAGGAATCAATGTAGTCCAGTCATTCCTGTAGCATCATCTTACATTTGACAGCAGGAGCGAATTGCTTGCCAAACATTCGCAAATCGCAGCTCAAGGCGTTCAGGAAACTGTATTTTGTCAGCGTCTTCATCTAGAAGCACTATATCATCTACATATTCTTAGTCAACGAGGTTATTCCATGATAACAAGTCAGTCCGAGTAGAGTGCCTTAATCAGTGCAATGTATTTTATCGGCATTCCCTTTACTGCCAAACATCGCCACAGTAACTCTCGGCCGACACAATCAAATGCCGCCTTTAGGTCAAGAAATATAACGATTGTTGGACACCAGTATGTCTGTTCCAGAGTCTGTCGAAGGGTGGAGATATGATCAATACACCCTCTTCCTTGCCTAAAGTCTGTCTGGTTTTCTAGTGTTTGTTCTTCCCGTGGACAGCTTAGTCTACGCATGATTATTGAGCCAAGAACTTTAGATACCATATCCGCCAAGCTAATCCCCCGTGAGTATCACAGGAAGACTTTTCTTCCTTCTTGTATACCGGCATAACTAATGACATACACCAGCCCAACTGGACTATCTCTGATTCCCAGACGTTGCCCAGTACTCTAGTTAACCTATACGGTGAATTGTCTCCACTGTCCTTAAACATCTCTGGGGTCATTCGGTCAGGTCCCGCTGCTTAGCCTCGCTTCAGATTGGTGACAGCTTTTGTAACGTCAATTAGGTGCGGAGGACCTGTGTTTATATCCCATCCAGGGAGGTGTTGGATGCTGGGTAAGTTCCGCGTGGCTGTAGGTCTGTTGAATCGCCCCTCATAGTGTTCCTTCCAAAGTTCCAGTCGCTTATTCTGAGAGCTAATTATGGTGCAATTTTTCTCAGAGATTGTTTCACTCATCACTTGACGTTTAAACCTGTTTATACTGTTCAGTTCAAATAGTTGTCTGATGTTACATATCACTGACACCTTTTCCATCTCTTTCGCTTTTGTCGCCTACCAGTTCTCACGGTCGATGCGGAGACTTTTGGTGAGTTTGCGTTTGAGCAGCTTTCGCTCCTCATCATATTTGGCACTCGCCAGAATCAGTCTTCCTGCCTTAATTAGTTCGGATGAGGTAGTAGAAATCCACTGACTCTTACTAACCTTTTGTTTTCGGTTATTAACAGCATTTACAGCTATGTTTACAGCTAACTGCTACATTGACGTGGTGGTCGGGCTTGAACATCGCAATGACCTAATCAAGCTATACTAGCTGGGACTTATGTCTCTTGAGGTCCTACCATGCCAGGTTGTTTGGATAGAGGTTAAACAAAAAGCAGCTACTCAATGCAACATCATGTCCAATACAAAATCACAAAATTTCATGCCGGATCGGTCGTGAC